AAAATATATCTTAAAAAAACAAAAATAACAAAATAACGAGACTAGGCGTCGGGCCGGTGTTCGATCTCCATTGGACACGTGCCGTTGGCGCGTGCCTTGCTCCGCGACGCCGCCTCTTTTGTATTGTTCACACCCGGCGTTATGGCGGTGTGGCGTCGGGACGCCTTTTGAACGCCGCGCGACGCCTTGTTCTTGTTATGTCGTTGTCATTCGGACGGCAAATAGAATAAGAGCCGAAGGCACCTGTGAATACGGTGGTTCTCTGGGGACAATGCCGACGACAGATACGCGGCTACGCCGCGACGCCGGCGCCAAGGTCGTTGAGCGTCCTGGGGGTGCGCGACGGTCAAGCGCGACCTCCTACCCCGACGTCGTGTCGGCGCAGTGCGACGAGTTCGCCGGTTGAGCAGGACCGTCACAGCGCTGGGCGCGCGCGCGCTGCTGCTGCTGCTGCCGCCGCAGTGCGTGGGCCAGGCTATGGGTGCTGAGACACGTCCGTCTGCGTGAGTCACTGTGCAGGGTCGTGCCCGGCACGCCCTGCGAGGCGGCGGCGGCGGCGGCCACGCCCGTGGGACCCGCGCGCCCCAGACGGAGGATTAAGTCAGCACGGCAGAGAGTGACAGAGAGCTTAGCTGACCCGCGACGGCGCAGAGTTTCCGACATTCCGACGCCTCCCCCTCGCTTCCGCCGTGAGAGTGCGGAGCACGGCGGGTGCCGTATGCGATCGCACGGACTCTCTGCACGGCTGCTGTCGCTCGAGAAGGTAGACGATGTGCGTCGTCGTCGTCGTTGTTAGCCCCGTCGACGTTAGCGCCCGCGGGGCGTGCATGTCGCTGCCTGGTGCCGGCCTGGCCCGGCCTGGCGTTGGCGCCCATACGGCCCTTCCCTAGCGGAAGATAAAAGTGTCCGTCAAATCTCCTTCATCCGCTGACTATGATGATGACTCCCGGCGTGCGACGGTTCGCGAGGAAGGATGGGCGGGGACGACGCGTCGGGCCCGGGGCGTGACAAGGACCGAATTCCGATCGGCGGTGTGTCAGCGGCAGATAGTGAGGAGGGTGACATGTTTTGGGCGCGGGCGTCCTCTTCTCGGTGTGTCGAGTCACCCGCCCTGCGCCTCAGACTCTACCCGCGACCTCTCGGCTGCCCCACCCAGTCCCGCCCCGTGCCCCTGGCTGCACCACAATAGAATGGCCTCTTATAAGTGGGCCGCCAGAGTGCGTGCGTCGCGGCGTGTGTGTCCGGTTCGAACCAGATGCACCACTCTATTTGGGCCTTCCGGCCTGCGTCCTGGGAGGGAGTGGACTCCATCCTCCTCCCTCCGTGTCCTCCACGACGTCATCGGGGACCCAGCGCTCCAGGAGGAGGACACTATGCGAGACCGCCGCACGGCGGCCGCGAGGTATGGCCGCAGCCTCTGCCTCTACCGCGTGGGCGCCTGGTGGGTAGGCAACGCGAGCGCTCCCGTGCCCTCCGACTGCACGTTTGCCTATCCACAGGCGCTCGGTCCGGCCCGGCCCGGCCCGGCCCGGCCCGGCCCGACCAGCGAGCTGCGCGCTGCTCTGCGGGGCAGAGGGGTCTTTTTCCTCCACTCTCCGCGAGCACGGGTGCGCCGCACGGGGAGCCGATAACGACAATCGGACGAGGCTGTTTCCGAGTTTTTGGCAACAATCGGATATGCCTGTGTATGATGCGGCCATGAACCGTATCATCACGTTTTACTCAGCTCGAACTAATACTTCCCGTGGAGCGTAGCGCC